CAGGGCAAATCTATACCTCAAAACGGTTTAGTCCATTTGGAATTTCACCAGCGATTGCAATTAAAATACAGTAATTGATAGCAGCAAATTAAGCTACCCTCTTTCTCTCTCTCTTAAGGTTGAAAGCCAGGTCTAGATGTGTTGGTACAAGCAGTGACATAAAAGGGAAAGTCTTGAATGGAGAGAGAAGTAAGCGGGAAATCGAGATGGCTGGAGACAGGAGTAGAGTCCTCGTCCCTCTAACCACCTTGTAACTTGTGTTTCATTTCACGCTCGGAGTGAGTTTAAAACACTGGTATTTCTTTTATTTAAAACATGCATTATTGTGACCAAATATGTAACAGCATCTAAATGTTTACATTTCATGGAGATATTCCAAGTTTTCTATTTTTTGTGCCAAACTGTGCCAAACGCATTCCCAACAGGATTTTTTTTTTTTACATCAAAACCTGCATAAATGTGTTATTTTTTTGGTATCTAGACAAAAACTTTGCTCCAAGGCGTCATTAAAAGGTTGGAGTTGCATTTGATTATGTTTCTTTGCTCCTTTACAAGTAATCATGTACACAGCATTTGTATGTGTTTTTTTAGGCGAACCAAACTTTTTTGATAATGTAGCCTAATGTACACTTGCAAACTATTGTAGACATGAAAATATTCACATCCACAAAACAATTTGAGTAACATATAGCATTTTCAAAAACGTTCAGGCTGTGAAAAGGCCTGTATAGTACTTACTGTATATGGGAATAGGCCTGAGAGTTTAAGGGGTTAATGGCAGCTGTTGAAGCACTTGGACTTGTCTCACAAAAATTACCAACAAGAACATGTTTTTTTTTATTTAAACATTCATTTACAAGAAATATAAATAGTCAAGATAACAATAAAAGTATTCTAAGTGATCTGAATGCAGTTACTACTTTTTCCAAAATTACGGAAAACTATACAAAATACATTTTAGGTCATGTAGTCAGTATTCTGCACTACATACATGTTCATGGTATTCTACCCAACACCGCTGACATAAAACTGCAACTATCTTTATCAGAAATCTAGAATTATGGGTGAAATCAAAGTTGGAGACCTCTTGAATGCATTGGATCAATTGTATATTTGCTGAATTTGAATGTATTCATTTGTGATTTTAAAGCCACTAAAGGCAGTGCATCTGGTTTTCCCAATGCAATGCTACATGTCTGTCAAAATAAATAAAAGTGTAATGTTGTTTCAGCATGTATAGTTTTAATTTTGGGCCATTTCCGAGTCTCGTCTTCTGCTCTGTGTGTGAGGTTGCCCAAACGGTTGACTTAAAACTAAAAAAGTACAACGCGACCAGCTTTCATTTTCAAACAAGGTCAAGTATTTCAGGATTGTCAAAGTCCCTCAATGCTCATTCAGTCACTAAATAGATTGCTGCTGCTTCTTTCATGGGGGAGACTGGAGCGGCCAGAGGAAACCCACCCTGACATGGGGCATACCGACATTCTGGTGAGGTTTTCCTTCTAATGACTGTCTCAATATGTATTTCAGTATTCTTCTTAAGGAGACATTTGACTCATTCAGCTCCTGTGAGTATTAATTCTACAGTTTTCTTTTTCTTAAAACCTGAGAGACCCTGAAATTATGTCAGTATCATTAATTCAATGTATTTGTGTGTAGCCCTAAATCACAACAGATCAGAGAATAAAACAGTTTGATCATAGACATGTAATAATAACAGGCACATAGGATCTATTGGTCCATTGGGGCGGATGACCAAAATATACAAAAATATATATATATAAATGTCCTTAAAAGTCCTTAAAAGTCCCTGGCCATCACTGACAATCCTGTATCGGCAAGGAAAAGCTCAAAAACCCAGTGGGAAAAAGAGAGACTTCTGGGAAACACCCTCTTATAAAGTTGTGTGTGGTCTTGATAGATTTTTAGTTCTGAGATCACGTTACTCTATATCTGCCACATTGATCTCCAAATTATTACTATTGTTAGCGTTTTATAACAATCCATTTATTTGTTTTGTTTGTGAGGATGGATGGGTTTTTGCTGCTACTGGACACCTGAATTTCTCCTCTATGTATCTATCTAATATACATTTGTTTGTTCTCTTGAGATAGGAATTACTCATAAGATTCAGATTCAGTTTATTTGCCATTTGCAGTAAAAAACTTTGGATGGAAGGTCATGTTCCTGCCACTAAGATAAGATAAGAGAACCTTTTTTTGTCCTGCAATGGGGAAATTTCAGTGTTGCAGCGCACATACAGGGGTAGAAAGAGCACACAAAATTTACAATGCATGGAAAATGCATGCAAAATATACAATGTATAGCACGTGATTGCAGTATAATATTTACAGATGAGATGTCACGCACAGGCTCAGCAGTTCTCATTGTACAATCTGACAGCAGCAGGACGTCCACCTTCCTATCCTGTATTTGCATATTTCACAGTATCCAGAAAAGAGTCGTTGTGAGTGTTGTTTGATTTTCAGATTCATTTATTTGCCATTTGCAGTAAAACCACATTGGAAAAACTGATTAAGAAATACCTTTGATTTGGTTAATCTGTTTTGACCAGGGGAACCATTTTTGTTTGGAGAGCTACTTTTTCGCAACAAAAATGGCAAAGAGCTACTTTTTATTTTTTGCAATAAAACTGTAGTCTATGTAATGTGGAAAATAATGGGCAACACTCATGTAAAATGTACCATAATACAGTAAAAACCCTACATTAGTGAACATAATACATAAAACATGTATAGCTAAAATAGACTAGAATGTGTCAAATTCCTGAATCCTTTGAGGAGCTACATGAAAGGGGTTGGCGAGCTACTGGTAGCTTCCGAGCTAAAGGTTGGAGACCACTGTAACAGACCAATGTGGATTCTAATCTACTTGTTTTATTGTTGTATTTTCAATTTGGTTTGATTCTAATTGTATGAAGTTCTCATCGGTTGGTAAATCAGCAATTCTCTGGTGCCCTTCGAGACGTCTGCTGTTGTGATTTTAGGAAAGAAAAAAAAAAGGTTTGATTTGGAGCACAATACACCAGACGGTTTCTTGTAGCTGACAAAAACAGCACACAGCCATCTCCTTTGGATCATTTAGAACTTTTGGTACTTTTGTTTTTGACCTACTGCCAGCATGTCAATATGTTTACTATTCCTCTTCCGCACACCAACATCTCCCTCTTACATAAAGTGATTCTTTTTCGCATTTCCCTGCACTACTAAACCTAAGCATTAGTCCCCACATTTGTCTTTACAAGTGTTTTAAAAGAAGTGCTTTTAATTTAAAGGATGTCTCTAAGCGAAGTGTAGAGTGAGAGTAAATTTGTTTAAGGGTAATAAAGTGGATTAAAGCACATCTGTTCTGCTTCTTCTATAGGCCGAGCAAATAAACACGTTGTACTGCCCTGATCAACGAAACAAAGGAGGTTGTATTGATTTGAATTCAATTTATACTCCCAAGTGGCAGATTTCTCCTTTAATGCATAGTTTTATTCCAGTCTGTATACTTCTGCAATTCAACTTACAATGTGAAACTAATATGACACTCATGACATGCAAAGTGAGACTTATAAAGCCCTTAGTTGTTATAATATTGATTGATAATTGGCTCATATAGCGTGTAGAACAAAACAAAAATTAAGATGCGTGTGATGAACTGTAAGCCATTATCATCAACATTATAACAAACAAAGGCGTGTGTCACTCATGCATGCAAAGAGTCTATTTCATATGGTTTCATGTTTTAGATTGATGGATACATATCAATCTATCTATCTATCTATATATCTATGCATCGACTAATCTTTCTATCCACCCTTTAATGGTTTCTGCACCCATTTGGTAGATCACTTTTTGAGACATATCTACTTGATGCTTGGATCTGAAAACTACCTCTTTGGGGCATCTCATTTGGCTTGAGGCACTTTTAACATCAAACTGCATATCAGCCATTTTGTTGAGGCCAATAATAATAATAATAATAATAATAGAGAAAAATAACAGATTATTTTTCTTATAGTGCTCCATCTTAGGGAAAAAATACCTTGCTTTCTCAATGAGTGCACATTAAAGGGTTAAAACAAGGTATAACCAGAATTCCTTGTGAAATCCAAACCATTTCGACATGCTGTGATTTTGAAAAATGAAATCATCAAAGGTCAATTACCAAGAAACAGTGTGCTTATAAGGCCAAATGAAGACTATAGACAAAATATGAACGTTTCTCATATTTGTTTTGTGATTAGGTATAAAATGTAACTAAATCAAAACACAACAACTCATAAGAACTGCTGTCATTGTGTTGATTGTCTTATTAATCTTGGACAGCTATGACTGAAATGAAACGCCTTCATGGCATTTCCCAGTGCTGAGAATAGCTATTCCCCTATAATGTGGACTTGGGGGCTTGCCTCTCCACACATATCACCTTCCCTCTCTGCCGCATGTCTTTGGTCATACATCCATTATGCAACTTATTCCCTGTGACACATTGAGGGAGGGTGGGGTTGTGGGTGGACTGAGGATCGTGCGCACGAGTCCGCGCTCTCGTGCCTTAGGTCTTGCCGGTACAAGTGTCAGTGTGGAGGATAACTGAGCTTGGCGTGACGCGCGTAAAGGACAACATCCATTTCCAGCTGGCATTGGGTTTACTTTTACTGCTTTCACCGTTGGACCCTTGACAGTGATGCGCTCTGGATACTGATGTGGGGATAACGTGGAGGGGCTTTCCTCTGGAGTGGAGTGTTTGGGAATGTGCGTGATGCGCAATCGAGCAACAATTTGGGGCTTTGTGTTGTATCACAAGCTAAAGGAATGCCATGTCTCTTTTTGCCTCTTGTTTAGTCACCAAAGGCTTGAGTGATGCTTTGAGATGAAAACGGCCACTTTTGGAGATCAGCTGGTGCCGGGTCTCGCGCTTCGGCAGCCTGTTGTTTGTGTCCACGGACCAACGCACCACGACGCGGCTGCAGCTGCGGAGCGCCAGGCTGAAGAATGGGGCTGAACAGCAGGATGAACGGTGCGTGTCTGCTGCTGTGCGCTCTCGCCTACGTGCCACCGCGCGCTCTCTCGCACCCGCAGCCGTGCCAGGTGCTCAAGAGGATCGGACACACGGTGCGGCTCGGGGCTCTACACGTGCAGCCGCGGCTCTTCGCCCCCTCTGTTGCTTCTGAGCAGTGGGACGACAGGCAGGTCAAAGCCAGAGCCAGTGCGCCTGGATCTGCCAATCTCAGGACTAGAGGCACCAGCAGGAACAAGAACCAAGCGCGCCAACGGGAGGACAACAGCCCGAAGGAGAACCGGGTGTTCTCGCCAAGGGACGCGGTTCTGCTTGCGGTGGAGGCGTTGAACCAGGCCGGGATTTTGCCCTACAACCTGACCATGGAGATGGTTCTGGCGGTGGGGTCTGGACTAGGAGAACTTCCCGCCTTTTCCTTCGCCTCCTCTGACTCCTCTGCAGCCCCGGACTCAGAGGAAGACCCGCTGTCCTTCGTGGAGAGCGTCTGTCACACTGTGGTGGTGCAGGGGGTCCTGGCCATGATCGCCTTCCCGCGCAACAGGGACGAGTTTGTTAAATTGGAGTTCGTTTCGAGCGCGCTGCAGGTGCCCGTGGTCAGCGTAGTGCAGCGGGAGTTCACGCGCAACAGCCAGGTAAAACTTCCTGTTGAGTTAAATGGTTTGGAACTGTTGCGCGCACACACACATACACGCAAGTGCGCGCACAAACACGCGCATACACACGCACACGCACAGTGGTAAGAACGTGGGCGCACAGGTGACATGCGTTGTAACGACATCAACCACAGCAGCCAATACGCGCGCACGGATTGGCTCACAGATTGGCTCGTGCCCTAAAAGCAGAGCAGATCGATGTGAAATCATACAAATGTCATTAGTATCCCGCGCAAAGGAGGCCGCACAATCTGCTCCTGCCCCCTGCTCAGTGAAGAGATGCAACCCACCTGTTTTTTTTGTCGGATTACATACATTCAGATCGTATTGATGAAAGGTCCTCTAAAAGTCATTGTACTCATCCGTCTGTACTCTGTCTTCTCTTTCATGATATTGATTTCTCCATCTGGGTTTTAAATGCTCTCAATCGGGTCTAAGTGGTGAGTCAATTACTTCAAATAGGCCAATACGAGTGGACAAGAAGCTGTCATGGTAGAAGGATGGGAGAGGGAGAATAAATTCAGTTTTTTGCCACTTTATTGATTCTTCAATTTACTGAATTATTGCAGTTTTGTGACTGGTAGAATATGTTGCTGTTGGATAAATTGAGTGATGGTATCGACATCTTGCCATTGACTTGAACATATTTAACCATAATGGGTTTGATGATCAAGGCTATGCTCACGCTCAGAGAGCAGCCGTCCTCCTGTGGACTCACCACCTGCAGAGGGTCAGTGAGGGGCTGGTGCTATGAGACTTGGGTGGCAGCTCTGACTGCCACCCCCCTGACCCAGAAATGGATTAAAGGGTAGAAAATGGATGGATGGATGGATGGGTTTGATGATTGTGTGATTGTGAATGAAAACAATCTGTGGAAAAATGTCTAAAGAAGAAAATTGCTGTATTTGAATAGTATAGTTATGATATGCAGGAATACAGAAGCCATGGGTATTGTAGTTTTACCATAGGGCAGATTTTTTTTTTTTTTTATTGAACTTTATTGTGATTACACACACACACAAAAAACAGAACAGTAAAATTATCCTGAGACTGGGCTTCATAAATCATTCACTCATAAAATAAATAAATAAATGAAGGCCTAGGCTTATGTCCTATTTAAGAAATTTAATCAGAAGGCCCTATCTTCTTTCAAAGATGTGGTTCTTAAGTTGCAGTTGTGCTGTCAAAAGTTCCATCAAATAAACCTGTCTTGTCCTTTGTATTCATTGTGTAGTAGGCGGCTCAGGTTTTAACCAACACATTGTTATCATTTGCTGTCAGAGAAGATGAAGAAAAACCCATTCCCCTAACCCTTTCTCCAACATTTGTCACTCATGTTACTCTTGGTTATGAAAGATTTTAACGGAGTCTTAAAAAATCTGGTTTTCACCTTCCAATCAAGGGGCGACAGTAGCTTAGTTGGTAGAGCATTGGCCTTTGAGCCTGAAGGTCGTGGGTTCAAGCCCACCGTAAGACCTACTTCACGACTCCCACTGATGACTGCTGTCGTTGTGTCCTTGGGCAAAACACTTAACCCCACTTTGCCTGAAGCTCCCACTGAAAGATCTCAGCTCCTGTGGACTCACCACCTGCAGGAGGATCAGTGAGGGGCTGGTGCTCTGTGGACTGGGTGGCATCTCTGGCCACCTCCCCGACCCAGAAATGGATTAAGGGGAAGAAAATGGATGGATGGATAGTCCAGATTTTTAATGTTAAATCTAACATTATTATATGCCTTTCAAAATATGCAAAATTCAGTCGTAACTGATCAAAGTTAGACCTTTACAAACATTCACACAGAAGGCCATTCGTTGAAAGTTTTGATGCATAATTTACTCGATGGGTTGTCACAGCTCATTTCCCTCCATTTCCAAACTTACAGAATGTTCCTAAGAATGTAAAAATAATATATAGTGATGTTTAACAAGATAAAATTTCAACTGGAGCGGTTTCAGCACCATGGACAGCAAAGAGTGGGTCAAGATGAGTACCTAAACAAGTATATTTTTGTTTATTCAACCTCCGCAATCCCCTTTCGTTTGGATTTTAGTTAATCATGCCATTGCAGTGAAGTAAATTCCCCTTTTTCTTCAGCCATTTTAGAAGTGTATATTATGGGTTGGGAAGTCTGAGGGTCTCTGCTCAAACTGCTGCTCCTGCGCCCCAGCATGGATAAATTGATGGATAAATATAAGTGGATTGTATTTTATCGTCTTACTTTTCCTCACCAAGAAAACATTTCATTTGTGTCAAAATGTTGAATATGAAGTTGACCCGTATTATTCACAGTGCAAGCCTTTGACTGCTCACACCATGTCCGTTTCCATCATCTACAAACCCCACAATACAAAGTGGACTGTCAAAGTAAGATTCTGGCCGGAACTTTAAAGAGAATAGTTTATTCATGCAAAACGGCCTAAACAAAGAACTGGTGAAGAGAAACTTTTGGCATTTGGCCTGAGCTAGTGGTGCATTCAAACTGAATAATGCCTCGGGCTGGATTGTGAAAGTTTTGCTCCAGTTCAGAATAGAAAAAACAATATATTTGAATAGTATCTATATAAGGCATTGACATATCAACAGAATCTTGAAAAATACCATAGTTTATTTTACTGTTGGAACAGCTAGAGGACATATTTTTGTTCCAGAGTTAACTCAGCTTTTGGCTATGTTGAGAAGCAATCCAAATGCCATCGCTGCACGCTCTGAAAGTCTTTTAAAGGTTTCTTTGGGGAAAGTTTGAGCGAAACCCTTGTTAAAAATGACTCAAGTGACCGATCAGTGAATACACCAGCTCATGCTGTGAGCTCCCATCCTGACGGAGGCACAGGCACAGTTTCCCTGTTGATGGTTTTGTAAACGTTGGAGCAGTTCATACAGACAACAAGCCGTCACCATTAGGGTCTTTTTTCCAAACAATTGTCTTTCTCTACAAAGGAGTTGTATGAATTTGTGTATAGCTGTCATTTGTTTCTATTCTTCCACTGTTGTTTTCATATTGGGATATGAACTTCAGATACAATGTTTGTCATTTTAGATTTTTCATATGTGTAATAGGAAAAATATATATATATCACCAAGTCAAAAAATATGCTTTGAGTATACGGCCATTCATCCATTTATAAAGTAATTTATTTATAGATTTACATACTGTATATACAAAGATAGAAATTGCAATTTATTAAATTTCTCTAATTGTTGCGCTGCTATAATCTTGTGTTGTGTGCTCCTCATTCTCTTCTGCAACTTGTGATGCAACACTGAAATTTCCCCACTGTGGGACAAATAAAGGACCTCCCTTAATAATAATTATAAAAATTGTGTTTGTAAAAGAAAAGAAGAAAAAAAGCAAATTAAATTGATGAATAATATATATTTAAAGGAACCATCTTTATCGAGCAAAGTATTAACGACATCTTTGTGATTTTCTGAACCTCTGAATAAATATAACTTTCAGGTTAGCAGGTGGGATTTTAGCTCCCACAAAAGAGCTGCTCTTTGTCAAAAAATATCATATTCGCGATAATAGCAGTATTGATATCACTATGATGTGCAATATTTTTGAATACACCCTTTAATGTAAACATCGTCATAACCCAAACTCTAATCCTTACATTGATGTGATACAGTATTTAACTATTTTGGAATACAAAAATAAACTAGACTACTACTAGACTAATTTGTTCAATGTATGTCTGTAAACTACACAAAGTTTAATATTGACCACAGAAGATCATTATCTTTATTTGATCATGTTATTTATAGTTCATTCTCTTAAATGCTGTATCCTGTTTGATATGTGCATAATCTTATTGCCCTTATGTCTCTTTCTATTCTGCTAAAATGTGCACAGCTATGACATTGAAACTTCCCAACTTCAAAGATTTATCTTATCCTAGGTACAGGTCGAGGTCCATCACACTGAGTATACATCATGGTATCTTAGAAGTTCATAGTCTATCAATCAGCTGTGTGTTTGTAAAAGTACACTTTTAAAATACACCAGTATGTTGTGTTAATGACAGAGAAAAGCCTGCACACACTCAACAATGATGTAGTCAATACTCCAAGGTACCTTACATTTCTTTGATGTATGAGAAAGTGTTGTTTAATGGCCACCAATAGCATTAGCTTTATTCTATTCTTTATACGCCTAACTTTTCCAGCTTAGAAGGTTCTTTTTCATGAGACAACAAATGTAAAGAAAGCTAGTACTGCTTGATTACCTAACATGGTTTCTGCGGAACACTTTCGCCTTCGTCAGAGGTGACACGTGATGGTTTGACGTGTCTCTTATCAGCTGTTGTTACTGGATGTGGCCAGTCCCAGGAAGCGGGGTGCACAGACCATCAACAGAAACGAGGGGGCTTTCACCTTAGCTCACACTTGGAATGCAACTGCTCCAGAGATCACAACACGGCGGGGGACGTGTTCAGTCTGACGGATCTGTGAGATCGGTCAGACTGACCATATCCGACCACAACAGCTGATCATAGACACGTCACAGATGTAATACCTCCCTTTTCCAATAGTCCAGAGGCAAGTGACTGAATGGCTTCATTGTCAGAGTACAAACAGGTCTAGGCATGAGCCTGCTGATGAAAAATGTGAGACTAGAACAGGAATGGACATATTCATTATATAGTGAAAGCTAAAGATAATGGCATCTGCAAATTTACTTTCTTCCTTCTGGAAGTGTCCATTTACAAAAAAACACTGGAAATGCATGACTTAATTGTATAAAACTTATAAAACAATTTACAAAAAGAAAAGCTTTGAAAGATGTTTCACACATGCCTTATAACAGTAAGTTGGCTTACAGCACCACAAACATGACTGATACTTGGGCTAGTGGGCTTACTTCATTGAAATGTGCTTCTTTTGGTTCTAATTCTCCAGTGGGTGACATCCTTCACTGCCACTACGGTCGTTTGTCAGGAGCTGTGGTTGCTACACTGCAGCGCCTTGGGACCCTTAGCCAGATGTTGATGCTCGACTTGATTCAATTAAATTTACTTGGTGGCTGAGTGGATAGCGTGTCTGCATAGGTTTCCTCCAGGTGCTCTGGTGTCCCCTACCACTAAAAAGATGCAGAATAGGTATGAACGTGAATAAGAGAGTGAACGGATAGTGTTGGTTGGGGGGCTTTGATGCGGCAGTGTGTTCAGCTTCTCGCCGGTTGTGCAGTTATTGGAACAGTATCTAACTCGGAACAGCGTGACATTGGTCTGTAAAATGTGTCATATAAAAAAACATGACTTACTTGTATTGCCCT